TTTGCCCAGACCAATGTCATGGAGCTTTTCCCTGTTTTTTAAATAATTTTACAGTTTTAGGTCTTACATTTAAGTCTTTAATCCATTTTGAGTTAATTTTTTAATATAATTTGAGATAAAGATCTAATATTAGTCTTCTGCATGTGGAGAGCCAGTTTTCCCAACACCATTTATTGAAGAGACTGTCCTTTTCCCATGTGTGTTCTTGGAAACTCTGCCAAAAATCAATTGACTGTAAATGTGTAGATTTATTTGAGGGCTCTTTATTTCATTTCATTGGTCTATGTGTTTGTTTCATGCCAGTTCCATGCTGTTTTGATTACTATAGCTTTGGCGTAGATTTTGAAATCAGGTAGTTTGATACCTCTAGGTTTTTTTGTTTGTTTTGGTTTTTGGTCAAGATTTCCTTGGGTATTTGGGGTCTTTTGATGCTCCATAGAATTTTAGGATTGTTTTCTCTATTTCTGTGACCAATGTCATGGAATTTTGATGGGGATTGTATTGAATCTATAGATCACTTTTGGTAGTATGAACATTTTAACATTAATTCTTCCAATTCATGAACATGGCATATTCTCTACTTATTTGTGTCCTCAATTTCTTTCATCAGTGCTTTGTAATTTTCAGTGTTCAGGTCTTTTATCTCCTTTGTAGCTATTGTAAACATAATTTTTTTAATTTTCTTTTTAGCTAGCCACTATTAGTGTGCAGAAATGCTACTGATTTTTGTACAATTTTTGATTGTGTATCCTGCAATTTTATTGACTTTATTTTTCTAACAGTTTTTTGTTGGAGTCTTTTAATATTTTCTACATATAATATCATGTGTCTGCAAACAGGCACACTTTAACTTATTTCTTTTCAATTTAGATGCCTTTTTTTTCTTTTGCCTAATTACTGTCTAGGATTTCCAGTACATGAATAGAGGTGGAAAATTTGGGCATCCTTGTCTTTTTCCTGATCTTAAAGGGAAAGATTTCCAGTTTTCACCATTGAGTGTGAAGTCAGCTGTGGATCTGTTATCTATGGCATTTATTTTGCTGAGGTGTTCCATCCATACCTAATTTTTTGAGTTTTCCTTATGAAAAATATTTAATTTTATCAAATGCTTTTTCTGAATCTACCAATATGATTATATGACTTTTGTCCTTCATTCCATTAATGTGATATATCACATTATAGATTTATAGATTTGTGTATATTGAACCATCTTTGTATTCCTGGGATAAACTCCACTTGATGGTGGTGAGCAATCCACTTAATATACTGTTACATTTGATTTCATGGTATTTTGTTGAGGATTTTTGCATCTATGTTCATCAGGGATATTAGCTTACAGTTTTCTTTTCTTGTAGGGTCTTTATCTGGATTTGGTTTCACAGTAACACTGACCCTTTAAAATCAGTTTGGAGGTATTCCTTCTTCTTTAATTTCTTTTGAAGAGTTTGAGAAGAATTGGTACTATTTCTTTACATACGTTGTAGAATTTAGTAATGAAGCCATCAGGTCCTGGGCTTTTCTTTGGCGGGAGACTTTTTCTTCTTTTACTTTCATCTCCTTACTTATTATTGATCTTTTCAGATTTTATATTTCTGCATGATTCAATCTTGGTAGGTTGTGTGTGTCTAGGAATTTATTCACTTCTGGTGGGTTATTAAATTTGATGGCCTATAATTGTTCATAGTAGTCTCATAATCCTTTGCATTTCAATTGTAATGTAATGTATTTCAGATATTACAGCTCATTTCTGATTTTGTCTTCTTGCTTTTTTTCTTAGTCTGGCTAAGGGTTTGTCAATTTGTTTATCTTTTCAAAAAACGTGTAGTTTATTTGATCTTTCTATTGTTTGTCTTGTTTCTATTTTATTTATTTCAGCTCTTATCTTTATTATTTCCTTCTTTCTACTAACTCTGGGCTTAGTTTTTCTTATTTTTTTAGTTCCTTGAGGTATAACATTACATTGTTTAGTTGAGATCTTTATCTGTGGTGTAGGCATTTATTGCTATAAACTTTTCTTTCAGAACTGCTTTTTCATAAGTGCACAATAGAGTATTATTTAGAAAAAGAACTGCATTTCTTATATTTTGATATATTTTGTTTCCACTTTAATTTGTCTCAAGATATTTTTTAGTTTTCCTTTAAATTTATTCATTGATTCATTGGTTGTTAGCATGCTGTTTAATTTCCATGAAATATATAGAAATTCCCAAAATTCCTTCTGTTACTGATTTCTAGTTTCATAGCATTGTGGTTGGAAAAGATACTTGATATAATTTTAATCCTTTTGTATTTGTTTTTTCTTGTTTTGCGAACTAACACACGATCTATATTGGAGAATATTCTATGTGCACTTGAAAAGAATGTTTATTCTGCTGCTTTTGGATGAAATTTTCTGTGTATGTCTGTTAGGTCCATTTGGTCTAAAGTGTAGTTTAAGTCTGATGTTTCCTTATTGATTTTCTATCTGGATAATCTGTCCATTGTTGAAGCTGTGGTAGAGAAGTCCCTTACTATTTTTGTATTGCAATCTATATCTTCCTTCAGATCTATTCTTATTTGCTCCATTCATCTAAGTGTTCAGATGTTAGTTGCATATGTATTCACAATTGTTATAGCTTCTTGATGAACTGATTCCCTGATGGTTACATAGCAACTTTCTTTGTCTCTTTTTGAAGTTTTGACTCAAATTTTATTTTATCTGAAGTAAGTGTAGGTACTCCTGCTCTCTTGGTTTTTATTTACATGGTTTATCTTTTTTCATCCTTTCACTTTCTTTCCATATGACTTTCAGTTATAAAGTTGAAGTGAGTCTCTTTTACCAGCATATAGTTGGGTCACTTAAAGAAATCATTTATTCACTCTCTCTTTTTATTGAAGAGTTTAATCTCTTTACATTCAAGATAATTATTGATAAGTAAGAAGTTAGTATTATCATTTTGTTAATTATTTTCTGGTTGTTCTGTAGATTCTTTTTTCCTTTCTTCCTCTCTTGCTATCTTTTTTAGTGGTTAGGTGATTTTCTCTACAGCATACATTGATTCTTTTTCTTTTTTCTTTTACTTTCTTTTCTTTTCTTTTCTTTTCTTTTTTTTCCTGAGATAGGGCCTCATTCTGTCACCCAAGCTGGAGCTCAATGTCATGATCATGGCTCACTGCAGCCTTGACTTCACAGATTCAGGTGAGTCTCCCACCTCAGCCTCCTGAGTAGCTGGGACTACAGGTGGGTACCACCACACCTGCGTAATTTTTGTATTTTTTGCAGGGACAGTCTTTCGTTATGTTTCTCAGGCAGTCAGTAACTCCTGGGCTAAAGTGATCCAGGCCACTTCGGCCTCCCAAAGTGCTGGGATTACAAGGTGAGCCACTGTGCCTGGCTGATTCCTTACTTTTTATCTTTCATATAAGTAATATAGGTTTTCGCTTTGTGGTTTTCCTAAGGCTTATATAAAACATCTTACACTGATTACACTATTTTAACTGGATAACAACTTATCTTTGATCACATTAAAAAACTAATCTTTTACTGCCCCCTCCCACATGTTGTTCTCGATATCACTATTTACATCTTTTTGTATTATATAGTCCTTAAATTATTGCAGTGATGATATTGCTATTATTATTTTTAATAATTTTATCTTTTAACTTTTATACTAAAGATATAGGTGATTTACACACCACCATGACAATATTAGGGCATTTTGAATTCTATTGTGTTCTCACTTTCACTAGTTTTTTTATACTTTCATATGTTTTCATGTTACTAATTAGTGTCCTTTTCCTTTAGCTTGAATAATTCCCTTTAGCGTTTTTTTGTGACATGGGTCTGGTGATGGTAAACTCCCTCAGCTTTTGTTTGTCTGGGAAAGCCATTATGTCTTCTTTGTTTCTGAAGGACAGTTTGCCAGTTAAAGTATTCTTGTTTGGCAAAGATTTTCACCTTCAGCACTTTAAATATATCATCCCACTCTTTCCTGGCCTGTAATTAGAACTCCTTTATCTGTTACTTGCTTCTTTTCTCTTGCTCTCAAAATTCTCTTTAATTTTTGACAGTTTGATTATAATATATATTGGTGTCATCTTGTTTCAATTGAATCTGGGGAGACCTTTGGCCTTCCCATACTTGGATATTTAAAAAACCAAAGCCATTTTTTTTTTTTTTGATATGGAGTTTTGCTTTTGTCACCCAGGCCAGAGTGCAATGGCATGATCTTAGCTCACTGCAACCTCCACCTCCCAGGTTCAAGCAATTCTCCTGCCTCAGCCTCCAGAGTAGCTGGGATTACAGGTATGTGCCACCACGCCTGGCTAATTTTTGTATTTTTAGTAGAGACAGGGTTTTACCACATTGGCCAGGCTGGTCTCAAACTCCTGACCACAGGTGATCTGCCCACATCAGCCTCCCAAAGTGCTGGGATTACAGGCATGAGCCACTGTGCCCAGCCCAATCATTTTTAATAACTGAAGAAGTTTGAAATCAAGGACAACACAAAGCAAAGGCATAGTTGTTTTGTTTCAATGATGATTAACTTCCATGAGGTACTCTCTATGAAAATATGAAACATTTTCTCACATGAAAAGTGAAAATCATATAACATGTTGAACTCTACAGTTGAATATGAGAGCAAGAAGGTGTACTCTGGACAACTAAAAAGCAGGTTCCCATTGGGAGGGCTTTCCTGGCCTGGATGAGTGATCTGACCTAGATACGTGACCTGGGGGTGTCAGGAGGCTGCAGATTGGACTTACAGATGGACCTCTGCAGTAGAGCAAACTATCACATGCAACACTCAGTGGGAGTGTGTGGTTCCTGAGAAGGTTAGGTCTGTATAAAGGATGTATATCTTTAGGATGTTTCTAGAAAACTGGAGAGAAAGATTTACTAAAATAAACCCAGGTTCTTAATTTTGGTTTAAGCACAGATTTCTATAGTTTTTCAGGTGCCTTATGAGTTTTTGCAGATATACCCACAGACACTTAAATGAACTAAACAAGGAACAACAAACAGGACACTTGCTACACATGCTGGGGACCTTCACTTTAGGAATATGTAGAAAACAATTTGGCATTTTCAAGTGGATAAAAAGCTGTTCATATCTCCCACCACAATTGACTGACTGTTCTAAGCTTAAATAAACAATTATACAAATAATGACAATGGAGTCATACAAAACTATTTAATTAATGTATATTCAATTATAAATCCAAAGAGGGGAATTTTAATGGTTCAGATAACTCCAGTTTGCCCACCCATCCACTAGCAAGCACATACCTTACATAGGGAAGAAAGTAGGAGACTAGAGCCTGCTGATCCCTCAACAAGTCTTAGGTCTTGCCTGCTGCTCTCATTATGAGCAGCTCTTCGTTCTGAGGGTAATTCCTGAGTTTAAGACACACCTTAGTCTTACAATATACTGCTTCAACACAAGCTATCTTTTTATCTGGTACTCAGCTGGAGAAGCCACCCTAAGAAGTAAGTGTACCCTTGAATTTTACCTTGGGCTCTTTCTTTGCAATCTCATGCCTTGGCCTGCCTCATCACAATGAGCCGTGACCCACACTGTACAGTTTATAAAAAGTGATCTTAGCTGTTGCTTCTATCCTCTGTTCATTGTGTATTTTCACTGTAGAAAGTTCCTAAATGCCTACATATTTCTGGGCCTTGTGGAATTCTCTGGAGTACTCTTGAGGTATGTCTCACGGCAGGCCAGCTGCAAGAGAGTGGGTAGGGAATGTGAGCCTTGTGGAAGTTATGCCCCCATTGCCTAGCCAGCACAGTGCCTGGTCAGACTAAGTACTTGGCAAGCATTACTTTTTAAATGGATGAATGAATACATTGCTTTCATTCAAAGAGGTTAATGATGACATATTCTTAACACATGAATAATTCTTTAGTGCTTAAATTACCGATAAATGCAAAGAGAATCTGAAAACAAAGATTTTTCTAATTTTTCTGTGCACATTTATGTAACACAGACCTCATCTACATTTCTTACTCCTGATGGAAGCAAGTAAGCCAGTTTAACAAAAATAAACACTGACATGCAATTAAATTTTTGGATAATCTGCACATCCTTGGAAGCTTCATTTACCTTTCCCTTTTTACTCATTACCTTTTCTTATGCATCTAACACTGGCATCCATCTCAGCTACCATCAGCATTTTGGATTTTTCTTACTGATATGAACATTTTTATGCAGTTGTTTTTAGAATTTCAAGAGTCAAGAGTGACCTAAGTAATTACTAGGCTTTTGACCCCTAGTTTGTATTTTTTTGCATAATTTAGAGATTCCAAGTCATTGAATTTTGTTTGCTAGTATTTTTTTGTTTGCTTCATTAAATCAATTATGCCTCTTGTAAAAAGTAAATTTTGTTTTCCTCAGAGCCCTGGAAATCAACAGGTATACCTACATCACAGCCACTTATTTCTTTGTTGCTGAAAGAACCCTAAGAGACAATAATAATTATTCTCATAACAAATTTTCAATAATAATAATGTAACAACAGTAATTACATGTTTATCTTTTTCAATAATAATAATTACACAATAATAATAATAATAATAATGTAGACCTTATAACAGTAATAAATATACATATTTAGATGCACAATTGGGAATACCCTTCAGTTTTATTACAGTTCTACAAATTACCTATATCTAAATGGATAAAGATAAATTCTAAATAAATTTCATAATGATGAGCTCAAAAAGTAAACCCTTTTTATGCTTTGATTTTAAGTGGAAAGTAAAATGGCCAAAAAAAAGGTGGGAAGATGAGGAGAGAGGAGGAGGAGCTGGAAGAGAGGAAGAGAGGAAGGAAGAGGTAGAGGAAGGAAGAGAGAAGAAGGGGAGTCATTTATTCCTGAAGATAATAATGATGGTGAAAATTTATAGCAATGGCAGCAAACACGTGGAGCCCTGTCCTAAGTACTTCACATCTGTTGATTTGCATATCTTTCACCACAATCCCATGAGGTAGAGAGGATTATTACTCCCATTTTACAGATCAGGAAGCTGAGTCAGGAAGTTGGGATCACTGTTTGTACTCTCTAGCCTCACCAAGTTAGGAAGCATTAACAACAAAAAAAAGTTTACTATTTCCAAACTTTAAACTTACTAAAATTAGCAAAGATTTTTTTTCTTACCTGAGCTGGGCCTTACTATTTCTAGGGCTTGCAGAGCTCATCTGTATTTCTTTGTCTTGCATTTCTCTCAGGATCCTTTCAGCAAGCAAGAGGTACATGGCTGTGGTTTGGGTACACTTGTTGGTTTCTAGAGCTCTGAGGAAAATGAGGTTTGCTTTGTACAAGAAGCAAAATGTTCCAAAGACTGTTTTAATTCCGTCTGGAATTAGAGTATGCCAGTGCCACGGAGGAAGCAGTTTTTTGTCTTTCTCTTCTCCCACACCCTAAGGTGAGCTACTTGCCGTTGGCAGGCATCATTCTTTCCTTTGCCATGGCTCATGTCAGGACAGCCAAAATACCGGCCACAGGAATTCCTAGCCAGGATACCGGAAATGACTTTATCAGAATCTGGGCTGCCTTAGATTGGAATCAATGGCTCACAAAACCATGGAAACTCAGAATGACAGAACAATAGAACCTGGGAGCAGAGTGTACAGGGAGTTAACAATGTAATTTCTTGAAGTTGAAAAGACATCCTTGGCCGAGCTCAGTGGCACAAGCCTGTAATCCCAGCACTTTGGGAGGCGGAGGCGGGTGGATGACTTGAGGTCAGGAGTTCAAGCTCAGCCTGGTCAACATGGTGAAACCCCGTCTCTACCAAAATACAAAAATTAACCGGGTGTGGTGGCGTGTGCCTACGGTCCCAGCTACCCGGGAGGCTGAGGCAAGAGAATTGCTGGAACCTGGGAGGCAGAGTCTGCAGTGAGCCAAGCTCGCACCACTGCACTCCAGCCTGGGCAACAGAGTGAGACTCTGTCTCAAACAAACAAAGACATCCTTTCTGATAATGAAGAATATTTTCCTTCTTATATACCTTCATTTAGAAATGTGGAGGGGTGTGTTTCCACATAAAGAATAAACCTGTTTATGTTTGTTGGTTGCTGATTATTAGTCCTGGTGAATTTTCCCTCTTCATTGCTAGTAAGTTTTCCCCAATGAAGTCTATTTTAGCCAGTGTAAGTAGAGCAATAACATCTTTCTTTTGAATAGTGTTTGAATAATGTATATGTATTTTCATCCTTTTTCTTTCAAGATTTCTGTATCCTAATATTTAAAATCTGTATCTGCTATAAGCATATAGTTCTTAAAATTTCACTCTACTAATCTTTGCCTTTTACATAATATTTAGTCTATTAACATTTAATGAAATTTTGATGCATTTGAGTTTATATGTAACATCTTCCAAATTATTGTCCATTTCTCCTGCCTGTTTTAGTTCTTTTTCTAATATACTTCTGAATTGGCTGAATATTCTTTAATATTCTATTTTTCCTTTTCCTTTCTCTTAGCTTGTGAGTTATGCATTCCTCCTCCACTAATCCTTTTGTGCTTGTATATGTGTTTGTATTCTGTTATGAGGTTTCTGGATCTTATTTCTTGCACTGCAAAATGGGGACCATAACACCAACCCCATACCTTGTTGTGAATATTAAATATGAATGAGAATGTCCTTTGTAAATTCCAAACTGATGCATTTATGTATTATGAAGAGTTATAATTGTTCATTTAAAATTCTTAGTTATGCAGATGTTTAAAAAATTATGACCTCATATATTTACATCTATCAGGAGCCTTGAAATTGGGATTTACTGTCCCTTGCATGAGAATGCTTTCTGTTTCTCCTCTTCCAATCACCCTAACTCTTGATCCCAACATTAGAATTTCTTCTTGGAAGGCGTGGCTGGAGAGCTGCAACCTCCTCTTTTTCTGGATTACTCCAAATTTCTTTCCCATCCTAATATAGCCACTCTTTTCACAGACAATTGTGTCACTGAAATCTTTCTGGACTAGACACACAATCAAGGATATCTGATGTGATAATATTCTTCTCCTCCAAATATTTTTACCCAAATTAGTATCCTGGGGTAGGTTGGCAAGAGGAGAAGGAACAATGGCATGGTGCCCTTTTGAACATGTGGCTCACCTTTTCACAAACTCATCTTCTCTCTCCTTAATGTCCAGCATGTCCCTTGAATGTCCAATTGGTCTATTCCAGTGTTATGCACTGAATAGTGTCACCCCAAATTTATATGTTAAAATTCTGACGCCAATATCTCATAATGTGACTGCATTTGGAGATTGGGTCTTTAAAAAGGTAATTAAGGTTGAAAGAGGTCACTAAGATGGGCCCTAATCAAACATGCCCTGTGTTCTTATAAGAAGAGGAGATGAGGACAAATATGCTCAGAAGAAAAACCACATGAAGACATAGAAGATGGCCAACTACAAGCCAAGGACAGGGGTGCAAGAAAAAAATCAACCTTGCCAGTAACTTGATTTTGGATATCTATCCTCCAGAGCTGTGTTTAAGCTACCGAGTCTGTGGTACTTTGTTATGGAAGCCCTAGCAAACTAATACATCCAGTGTGACTGGGCAGCCCATTGCCCTTGCCTCTGGTGATATGGGCTCTTGACTTGGATATTACTTACTGGATGTTGTTGCCTACATTTCTAGGTCCCCTCCACTCTTAGCCCTATGGGACTCCTCTTTGCAGCAGTCTATTAAAGTTCTACAATCTCAGACATTGAACATAGACTTCCTTTCAATGAGCCAAAACTTACCATTTTCAGAGAAACGTTGGCTTTCCTTCCCTTCATATCTCTGATTTGGAACCGATTCTGATCCAGTCTCCTGAAACCCAACACTGTGTTCTCTTTTATGAGATGTAACTCTCTGCTGCCAGTCTCCCATTCTCTTATTTCAATTTTCTTCCTTTTCTAGGGTGTGACCACTCTGTTTTGTTTTCTCCCTCCTGTCAGTATCTCCTGTCTATCGCAATAGCTTAGTCAAGCTGGTCTCTCCCCCAGATGACTTCATTTATTCCTAGATCTGTGAATATTTCACCTTACTCATTCATCAGTGTTCTATACCCTGGGGACTGCAGAAATGGAAAGAAGTGGGGTTATTACTTTTTGTCTTGTGTTTAGTCTACTCCTAAGTTTATTTTAATGTTCGTTGTTAAGAAAGGTTTACTAATAGATGTTCAATGCGTATTGAGATTATAAGACTGGTTTTCCTTTCTCTTTATACTAATTTGTGTATTAATTTAAAAACCTAAGAGTACTTAAAAAAGAAATCAACAGAAACATTAAACTCACTTAAGAGGAAAGGAAATAATCAAGACCACCATTTCCCAAGGAAATAATCTTGCAACATTAATCACCTCCATTTCCTTGTCTCCACTTCTCATCTGATTGCCAAATCAAGTCTTATTCCTCTTCTCGATATACTTACAATGCCTTATTTCAGTCACTTATTACATCATACCAATTTACTGCAAAACACTTTCCTTGGGTTAGACTTTCTGTCATCTCACCTCTATTCAGTGGAATTCATGCATGTTGCCAGAATGATCCTTCAAAATCAGAGATCTGGCCATTTCACAACCCAATTAAAAAATCTCATTGGCCTCCAATTATCTTCTTAGCTCCTGTCTTGTATTCAGTCTTATCTGTAATCTCCATCCAACCTTTTAACCATCCTGATATTTCATTCCTTTCTTTCAAAGGACTTACCCTACCCCTA